TGGCTAAGCGTATGCACGATAAAGGATGGAAGGGTATGTACGATAAAGGATGGAAGGGTATGCACGATAAAGGATGGAAGGGTATGCACGATAAAGGATGGAAGTGGTAAGGATCTAATAGAAGCAGAAGAGATTAAGAAGAGGTGGCGAGAAAACACAGAAAATTATACAAAAAAGTCTCAATGACACAGATAACCACAATTGTGTGGTCACTCAGCTAGAGCCAGACATTCTGGGATGTGAAGTCAAGTGGGCCTTAGGAAGCATTACAATCAACAAAGCCAGTGGATGTGATGAAATTATAGCTGAGCTAGTACAAATCCTAAAAGATGGAGTTTTAAAGTGATGCACTCAATATGTCAGCAAATTTGGAAAACTCAGCAGTGGCCACAGCACTGTAAAAGGTCAGTTTTCATTTCAAGCCAAAGAAAGGCAATGCCAAACAATGTTCAAATTACCATACAATTGTGCTCATTTCACTTGCTAGCAAGGTAATGCTCAAAATCTTTCAAGCTGGGCTTTAGCAGTACCTGGACTGAGAACTTTCAGATGTGCAAGCTGGATTTAGAAAAGGCAGAAGAATGAGAGACCAAATTGCCAACATTTATTGGATCATAGAAAAAGCTAGGGAGTTCCAGGAAAATATCGACTTCTGCTTCACCGACTAGGCTAAACCTTTGTGTGGATCACAACAAACTGTAGAAAATTCCTGAAGACATGGAAATATCAGACCACCTGACCTGCCTTCTGAGAAACCTGTATCCAGGAGAAGAAGCAATAGTTAGTTAGACCAGACATGAAACAACAGACAGGACAAAATTAGGAATAGAGACCTTCAAGGCTGTATGTTGTCACCCTGTTTATTTAACTTACATGCAGAGTACATCATGTGAAATGCTGGGCTGGATGAACCTCAAGCTGGAATCAAGATGGCTGGGAGAAATATCAACAACCTCAGATATGCAGATGATACCAATCTAATGGCAGAAAGGGAAGAGGAACTAAAGAACCTCTTGATGAGGGTGGAAGAGGTGAATGAAAAAGCTGACTTGAAACTCGATATTCAAAAAACTAATGGCATCTGGTTGGTCCAATCACTTCATGGCAAATAGATGGGTGAAAAGTGGAAACAGTGACAGATTTTATTTTCTTAGGCTCCAAAATCACTGCAAACAATGACCTCAGTTATGAAATTAAAAGATGATTGCTCTTTGGAAGGGAAGGTGTCTAAGACAAACCTAGAAAGGGTATTAAAAAACAAAGATATCACTTTGCCGACAAAGGCAAAACTATGGTTTTTCCAATAGCCATGTACACAGGTAAGAACTGGACTGAAAAGAAGGCTGACCACCCATGAATTGATGCTTTAGAATTGTGATGCTGGAGAAAACTCCTTGGAGTTCTTTGGACTGAAAGAAGATCAAACCAGTCAACCCTAAAGGAAATCAACCCTAAATCTTCATTGGAAGGACAGATGCTGAAGCTGAAGCTCCAATCCTTTGGCCACCTGATGTGAAGAGCTGACTCACTAGAAAAAGACCCTGAAGCTTTGAAAGATTGAGGGCAGGAGGAAATGGGGCCACAGAGGAGGAGATGGTTGGATGGCACCGCCAACTCCATGGACATGAGTTTGAGCAAGCTCTGGAGATGGTGAAGGACAGGGAAGCCTGGCTTGCTGCAGGCCATGGGGTTGCAAAGAGTCAGGCAGGACTTATGGACTGAACAACAACAAAGTATCCTTACTGGTTAAGATGAGTGGTGACGAGCAGTCAGGCAGAGGCAATGCTGCGTGCTCACAGATTGCCCTGATACTACCCCTCCCCTAGACAGATGGGTACCTACAACCTGTCATCTATGTCTGTAATCCTCAGAACATCCTGAAATGAGTGCCATCTCCCAGGCACCGGCTGCTAGTAACAGGAAAGTCTTAAAGAACCATGTCTCTGGATGCAGTTCTTCTGCAAATTACATTTGAGAAAGTCATCAATAAGTATTGTTGAAGAGGTCTCAAGAGAGATTTGCTTAGTGAATTGACTTGAAGTCTGTCGTTCTGTAAAAGTAACCTGAATAAATTCATCCATCTCTTGGGAAGACTTGGCTATTGAAAGAGTTCCCCTAATATTCAGTTTTTCTCCTTTCAGGCCAAGAAACTTGAGAAAATAAAAAGACATTAACAGAAATTAGGCTTTTGAAAACTATATTTAGGATGAGCCAGTTAGACTCTCTCACTTTCTGAATTTATCCTTAAAATTAAGATCTGAATAGAATTCCTCAGCCCCCCTAAAAATGGGAACATATAAAATATTGAGCCCAGCATAGTATACATCAGCCACCCATAAAGAAAATGTTCTTAACTCAAATTTTATTTGAAATATATATCAGGAGATTCAATGATTCAATATACTTTCTGGTATATAACCATCTGAGCATCACTGCCATTTCCAATTAGATTTTAAACTCTATGATAGGAGTCTTGTATGTCAGGTCTGACATATTAGTACTCAAAAATATTTCTTGATATATCCCTTAACATTACCAGTTTATCTGAAGACAACAGCTGTGATTCTCCCATTCGTTCTTCTTCTGTAATTGTGTATACTGAGAAAATACGTCAGTGGCTTTGCCTTTCTCTACTACAAATGATTAAATGCCCAACTGATCTTTGTTACATTATGTTTCCCAAAGGGCATCTCACTTTGATTCAGTTGACTATTTAGTTTTTCATTTATAGATTTGAGCTATTGGGAGGAGATTCTAATAACATTTATGTCAATGTAACACATAGCTTGCTATTGCTCTCTTAACAACAAACAGCAATGAAAAAAAAATGGGTGCACAGCCACAGATCTTTAATGGTGACCTAAGGGACTTTATATGGCACCACTTGGCCACATTTATATTTTATATTTTGCATTTAGTTGAAAACTTTTCTCATCTGTTTTAATGACACCCCTTCTTAAATTAGACGCTGTGGTAATAATAAAGCTCTCTCATGTGCAGGTTGTAATTCTCCACTCTCCAGTGTGTTCACAGGCATTATTTCATTTTGCTCCTTACCACAGGCAGGAAACGTTTACTATACATATTTTATAGCCATGAAAACACAGGTACAGAGTGGGTCACAGATGGTTAAGAGCAAAGCTTGGGCCAGAAACTCCATCTCTGGCACCCTGACTTGGTGTCCACAAGTGCCTGTACAGACCCATGCCAGGCTGTGCGCCCGCCGTCAACATGGCATACTGCAAATATACAGATGTCCAGGCCTCATTCTGCAGAAATCCACACTTTTATAAATGAATGCAATGTAGGGCTTGAGCAAAAAAAAAGAATAACTATTTGGTAGGAGTGTGAGGAAATAAGGACCTTCATATACTGTGGTGGAAGAAAATCTATATAGTTTTTCCTGAAGGCACATGAAAGAGTATGACTATTTGTACAAAGTAGCTTATGGCATAGCTGCTTAGGAAGGGGAAATTATGGGAGGGATGGGGAAAAGCCAAAGGTTATCAATGATAAGGAATATAGATATGGTCAGGATCACTAAGTCTGAACACCTGCTGGAGCAGACACCAGGTTTGCGAACTGGGGTAAATCTAAGCCTCGGTTTCATCATTTGTATGATGAAGACAGCATTAACCCCTAACTTACAGGATTAAGGTGAAGGCCAAAGAAGATAATATGTATTAGCACAGTGCATGGAACACAAGATGTTCTCAATAAATGCCATGAGATTACTACTGTTATTATTATAATCATCATCACAGGTCATGGGCCAGTAACATGAAACATGATTTTAATTATTATTTGCAGTAGTTATAAAACACGAGATAAAGATATGTACTGACAGGGAAGTATGTCCAAGACACAACAAAGGAGAAGAGAATGTCCCCAGGGCCATCTGAGCTCGGGCCCATTAACTTCAAAGGTATGAACAGACATTCAGCTGCAGAACTTTTTTTTTACAACATGAATTACCTCATAAGAAAGTAGTGAATAAGAGAATAAGTGGGCATTACAGCCACTACTATTCCACTACTGTCATTGTTTCCTAGCTGAAGCTATCAGGGGTAAGCTTTCTCTCAGATAAACAGAAAACCTCAGCCATGAATAAGCAGATCAAGAGAAAAAAGGTGACAATCCTGCAGAATGACTTCCATTCCTGAAAGCAACTTCTGGTTTAGGTGTCTCTGGAGTCCTGCAGGAAGCTGTCTGTGTAGGTTGCAAACGAAGAGGAAGGGACTTCCTGCTGTGCTGAAGCTACTGAGTCAAGATACCCCCCGGGTCACGGCTTTAATTCTGAAAGAACAAGTCTGCTAAAAACTGACCAGACTCGCCTTGGGGCCATGCATCTGCAAGAGGCTGAAAGCATCCAGGCTGAAGGGGTGCAAACCCCTCTGTGAGTGCAGACCCCTCTGTGGGTGCAGACCCCTCTGTGAGTCCAGCTGCAGAGGGGCCAGTGCAAGGACTCCTCTCGTGGTGGACCTGGCCGGGCTGCTTCTGAATGCCCCGGGGACTCTCGGTTGTGAGGTCCACAGACATGCAGGGTGTTACCCCCACTATTCTCCCCACCATCTCTGATACAGTTAGTATGCAGCTCTATAGAATGCAAGGCTTTGGAGAGACACATGGCCTCACTGCAGAAAATATCTGTCCTTCCCAAACATGAATAATAGAGTAAGTGGAAGGAGATTGATGGGGAGGAGATGAGTTGAGAAACTTATCACCTGTACTTTCTGCTTTCCAATATATTCTAAATTTTTGCCATATTCTTAATGATTTGAAATAAAAAGAAAAACATTGGCAGAGATATTAATATAACACAATGCTGAATTAATTCTCATGCGAAATCAGATTTGGACACCACTAATGTAGCCACATGTGGCATCTATTAAACTTCTGATTGGGAATGGAAAGTCTGACCAGGATCTTCAGTCCACACCTGTGTCTGCACAGACACCTCCCCATCCTGGAAAGAAAAAAACAAGGGAAGATGTACTCACACATATAAGACGGTCCTGGTGTCCCCTACTTTTCCCGCGTCGCCCACAGTTAGGGTGTCATAACCTCTTTCAAGCTCAAACTCCTCAAAGGCAAGCTTGATGACCTGAATCAAACACAAAACAGAATTACTTAGCATAACGAAACTCTTTGGGACCTTGCATACTGCAAACATCCATTTGGAGAATTAATTTTGCTCCATAATGTCATTGTTATTTCAAATGATATCAAGTTGCTTTTTAAAGTAATGATTATATATATTTGAGAGCCCCTGATTATAGGATTCTATGGAATTCAAACTGCTATCACTCCAAAGATATTATCAGCTTTAAAAATGAAATCAACCCATATTATATGTTAAGCCTATCAAGTATTTATTCTCATATTTATAGTGTTCGGAATGACCAAAGGTTAAGTCAGTATAAGCAAAATAAATGGAGAGTGCAGTTAATGGGATCTATTTAGAGGATAACTGGAACACCAATAAATAAACATTTTCAGTGTGATGTCCACAGATTTCATATAATTACTCATATTTACATATGAAAAAGACTTTCTGAGGCTGTAAAGTTGTCCTCTACATTTACCTTGCAAAGCCTTGTCTTTTTTAAAATAAAGAACACTTTGGGTGGTCGAAATCATCTAGACAAGACCAGCTTGTGTCTGCTGCATCTATGTAATAATAACACTATGAACTTTTTTCTGTAGAGCACATATCCTTTTCTCCGGATAAAAGTAATGCTTGCTTTGTTGACTGAATTTGTGATTAAGGGGGAAAAGTGTCTAGGGTGTCAAAAAGTTAGGCTAGAGTCCTGGGCGACAAGGAGAAATAGATTCATGTTGGAACTATATGATAGATAGATAGATGATAGATAGATACAGACACTAGATAATCTGTAACAGATAAAAAGGAAAGGAAGAAGATATCACTGATGAAAGAGAGAGATGGATAGATAGGTAAAACAGATCAGTAAATAGAGATGATGGCAATAGAAATACATGAAGAGATAGATGGACAGATGATAGAGATGGTAGATAGATAGATGTAGGTAGGTAGGCAGGTAGATAGAGTAACAAATGAGGTATGTAGGTAACTGAAGAGAGTGACAGAGAATGGCAAATACAGAAGCCATTAACACTGTAAATACACTTTGATGAGATTTACTCAAGAGTAACTCTGAAACTCTGGAATCGTGTACAAAACATCAAATGCCTGTTTATTAAACCTGAAAGAAAGGTCTAAGTGGCACCAGGGAGGAAGGCAGACTTTGGACTACTATCCGATTTGATGTTGCATTTCTGAGCAGGCTCTTACCAGGTGCTTTCCTCAGCAATGCTAATATGGGTTGCATTAATTTTGCTATTTGAAATTCTTACTAAAATTAGTTGTATAGCCATTATAATTTATTTAAAAATCTACTCTTTCAAATTGCAATGTTTGTCTGAATACATTATTTTAGCAATCTAATTTGAAACAGGTGTAGGGATTGATGGCTGTTGTTTATGAAGCCCAGCAACCACGGATGGTTTTACTTCATTTTTTGTCTTTCCATGGGCTGACTTATAAATGCCCATGGTCTAACAAGATAGAATAAAAGGATTGAAGATTCACACATCCTGGAGGTTCCCATTACCCTTTTTGAGACACTGATTCTGTGTTGACTTGTCTAACAGCCTGCAGAGAAGCAATGATAATCCATTCAAGCCTGAGGGTCACACTTGGCTGACTTGTAATGTCCCAGATGGGGGTCTCCCCACATAAATGTGTTTTTATTTTGGGTGTAAAAAGGATCATTCTACAATTCTTTCAAGCCAAAACAAAGGGTGTCAGAGAGGTTTTCGTCGGGGTTTAGCCTCGACAATCAGCCTCTACTGAGAGTCAAAGGACAGCATTTATGCCATTAATGTCCCATAAAGAGAGAAGAGGTAGGCCCAACCTTCTGTGAAGAACCTCTAGTTTGTTATAGGATATGGCATTCTATAACTATATCCGGCAGTAAAACAAATTATACATCTGGAATGAAAGTTGCTGTCATTTCTCAGTTACTGATGAGTGATGTGATTCAGAGAATTCATTTTTATAAACAAAATTCGTGTGTATTTAAGGAGTATAGCATGAATATTTGATGTCCACACACAGAGTACATGACCGCTACTATAGTCAGGCTAATAAACTTGTCTCTTTACTTAGTCATCACTTGCATGTAAAGTAAAAACACCTTAAATCCACTCTCTTAGCATATGTCCAATGGCCAATACAGTATTATCATCTACAGCCACCATGCTGCCCAGATTTTTTTTTTCCATTTATTTTTATTAGTTGGAGGCTAATTACTTTATAACATTGCAGTGGTTTTTGTCATACATTGAAATGAATTAACCATGGATTTACATGTATTCCCCATCCCGGTCCCCCCTCCCACCTCCCTCTCCACCCGTTCCCTCTGGGTCTTCCCAGTGCACCAGGCCCAAGCACTTGTCTCATGCATCCAACCTGGGCTGGTGATCTGTTTCACCCTAGATATACATGTTTCAATGCTGTTCTCTTGAAACATCCCACCCTTGCCTTCTCCCACAGAGTCCACAAATCTGTTCTATACGTCTGAGTCTCTTTTTCTGTTTTGCATATAGGGTTATCGTTACCATCTTTCTAAAGTCCATATATATGTGTTAGTATACTGTAATGGTCTTTATCTTTCTGGCTTACTTCGCTCTGTATAATGGGCTCCAGTTTCATCCATCTCATTAGAACTGATTCAAATGAATTCTTTTTAATGGCTGAGCAATATTCCATGGTGTGTATGTACCACAGCTTCCTCATCCATTCGTCTGCTGATGGGCATCTAGGTTGCTTCCATGTCCTGGCTATTATAAACAGTGCTGCGATGAACACTGGGGTGCACGTGTCTCTTTCAGATCTGGTTTCCTCAGTGTGTATGCCTAGAAGTGGATGCTGCCCAGATTTATCCCCACCTCCACATTCCTAGTCACCACGGCTCAACTCTGCTTCTGTGAATTTTTTTAGATTTCACATATACATGAGATCATGTAGCTTTTCCTTTCTGTGTAGGGCTTAATAGTCCACTGCATGCATGTATATATGGTGGTGGTGGTTTAGTGGTTCAGACGAGTCCGATTCTTATGACCCCATGGGCTGTAGCCTGCCAAGCTCTCCTGTCCATGGAATTTCCAAGGCAAGAACAGTGGAGTGGATTGCCATTTCCTTCTCCAGGAGATCTTGCCAATCCATGGGTTGAACCCATGTGTCCTGCACTGTAGGCAGATTCTCTACTGCTGAGCCACCAGCGCGCGCACACACACACACACACACACACACACACACTGCGTTTTCTTCACTCATCCATCTATGGACACTTAGGTTGTGCCTGTGTTTTGGCTGTGGTGAATAGTGCTGCCTGATGTTTTAAAGCGTGAAAGATTCAGTGGTGTTTAGTTGCAAATGTTTCCTGTAGCTTCTGACACACACACAAACGCACACACACACACACACACGAGTCACTAGGCTTCCTCATCAAAAGTTTTATTTTTTATGTGCCTTTGGTTTCAGTGTCCTCTTTAAACTATATTTGGGTCTTTTTTGAATGACATGTTTCTGCCAGAAATTGTGCTGATAGGAAGAGATACAGAATAAGAGAATGATTTTACAATTTTTCAAGATGCACAACTGACAGCACAAAATAAGTAAATAAAAAGTCCCTACATCTTGGAAGAAGCTAACTCATAATTACCTTAATGAATGACTGGAGGGTTGAAATCAACAAGGTAAGGAATGAGGGCTTGAAACTGATAAAGGGGAAGGGGAAGGAAACTGATAAAAAGAAGGCTGAATAATCTGATCCATTCAATTTCAAATCATTTTTCAGAAGAAAGACTTTTCAAACTGTGAATTTTCTCCAAAAAAAATAATCCTCTATCTAGAAATTACTAACGTGCTTGCCAAAAGCAATTTATTTCACATTTTCAAGGAAAATTCATACTTTCTTAGGAACTAAAAATTATGAAATAATTGCTAACAAATTTTAAGTTTTTTAGCCTGAGGTACTGAGGACCAACCATACGAAAATTGAAAAAGCATTAACTAATTACAAAGAGACAGTCTTGTCCAAATGCATGCATCACAGAGCCTGGGTAAACGCACATCAGTGTTTCCCACAGAAAAATGCAAAAAATGTTTCATATCTATAAATTACACATGGTAGTGGTCAATTATATATAGTATGAAATTACCAAGATTTGGTTCCAACTGAGAAAGAAAAGTACTTTGAAAGAAACAATTTAGGAAAAAAAATTTTTTTTCTAGGATAGCCTTGCTTTATACTTAACCCCACATACAAGCACTAAATGTCCATTTAAAACTAGAGTTCAATGCACTGTTAAAAAGAAGATAATAATATGGTGGTGCTAGTGGTAAAGAATCTGCCTGCAAGTGCAGGAGATGCAAGAGACGTGGGTTTGATCTCTGGGTTGGGAATATCCCCTGGAGCAGGAAGTGGCAACCCATTCCAGTATTCTTGCCAGAGAAATCCCATGGACAGAGGAGACTGGCAGGCTACAGTCCATGGGCCGCAAATAGTCAGACATGACTGAGCACATTATTATTATTTAAAATGTAGTTGTAATATTATTAATCTGTGCTACCAAGAGTCAAGTTAACCAGGGAATCAGAGGCAGAAAAGAGAAGCTCAAACAGGCAGGACAACCTGAGACTTCTCCATCCGCAGCTGTCTGGTCATATCATCACATCTCAAGAACACAAAGGACATGGCATGCAGATCCCAGAATCTCCCACGTGGTTCTGGCCTCCAGAACTTTGCTGATTTCCAGCCTAAAGGGCAGGCCTTCCCTGATTGCTCAGATGGTAAAGACTTCATCCCCGTCTGCAGCGCGAGAGAGCCGGTTCGATCTCTGGGTCCCCTGGAGTACGTAAGTGGCAACTCACTCCAGAATTCTCACCTGGAATTTCATGGGCAGAGGAGCCACGGCGGTCACACAGTCGAACATGACTGAAGCAAGCTAGCACATAAACAAAACCAAAATGCGTCCTGAAGGCCATCCTCTGTCAATTCCCTTCTCTCAGCAGTAACT